CGATAGGCTGGTGATTATTCGCCACGTTCGCTCTCACCGCGTGTATAACGCTTTCGACGTAACTCTTGTTCGTCGCGTCGTCGTTGTTGGTCGGCCAGGCCACTCCTCGTATCTAGAGACGCCGCGCGTCGTAATGCGACGCGGATGGAGAGACGTCGGAGACGGTCAGGTACAGCGCGTTATCGCGCACGTAATTTCGCAGAGATTCCACGCTCGCGCGCAATCTAGCGCTCATCGCGTCGCGACCGCGTCTTCTCCGCGTCGACACTCCGAACTTGCTCGCGAACATCGCGTCGTCGAATGAAGCGCGCGTCGCCGCGATCGTCTCACAGTATCTCGCGGAGCTCCTCGATTATCGACAGGATCTCGTTGTCGTGAGCGTTGTTGCCGGCTTGACGAGAAGCGTCCAGCAATCGGAGACGATCCACCAATTCGTTCGGATCGTCCCAATGAACGTAGTCCACGGTGTCGCGGGTCGCGCGCATAGCCCGCGGCACGCGACCCCCGCCGATCCTCTTCCTCGGACTGTCCGCAGGATCGGAGCTATGACGTGCTTGTACTTATATCCCTTGTTTCACAGTACGGGCATGCGAATATTGTGCTTGCGATCGTGCCTGTGAGCGTTAGTTTGCAGAAGTATGCTCCTGTACGCGGCTTTGTCTCTCTCGGTGTACTTGAAATCGTTGGGAATTCTCTTGAAGATCAATTCGTACAGACCGGGAGTACCGGCGTATCTGACTGCGTCCACGAATATCGCGTCGTCGACGCCTACGTCGAATCGCTTGTCCCCGAGCATAGTGCCCGCGTCGGCGAAGTAGACTCCGTAAACGTGATCGAAATCGCTCGGCGCGCCGCCGCCGAGAAGAGCGCCCACGTATTTTCGCGCCAACGGGCCCAATTGATCGCGCAAGATGTCTCGCCCTCGAGGAGTCCGCAGAGACCGTCTCACGGACGTTTCGAGCGTCGCCGGCGATCCGAGGAAGACGTCGTCGCTCGTCTCGAACGTCTCCTCGACGGACGGCTGCGCGAAGAGGTCTCCGCTCGCGAATTCGCACCGCTGTGCGGGAGACGCGTCCGACGCTCCCACGGGCGTGAAAGTCGTCGCGTTCAGACGGCGAGATCGCTTAGCTTTGAATCCTTTCGCGGACGGCGGCGGCGGTAACGCGCTCTCCTCGGCCTCTTCCTCGTCGTCGTCCTCCTCCTCCTCCTCCTCCTCCGATGCCCCCGTTCTCTTGACGCCTCGCGCGAACGTCTCGTCGATCTCGCTCTTCGCCGGTTCCCTCTCTCTCGCGCTCGCGCCTCGCGCGGAATCGTCTCCGACGCGCTCGGCGATGCGTCGCAACGGTTCGACGATCGGTTTGAAACGCGTCTCCAGAGCGCTATCGCTCTCCATCCTTCCGGTCTTCAGCGCTCTGTGCTTCCTGCGAATCGACGCGCGCGTTCTCGCTATCTCTATCGCGGTTTTCTCGCGTCTGTCGACGTCCGTCATCGCGCGCGTCGTTCCTCGACGTTTCGCCTTCTCTTATCTCTCTCCCCTCTACGATCGCCGCCGTCTCGAGAAGACTGACTCATCCTCGACGACGACGACGACGCACGCGACGCTCTACGGCACGGTGTAATCGTTGAATCCTCGCCTGTATCTGCCGTTGCGCAGCGCGCTATCTTTGTCGATCACTAGAAAACCGTATCGATATTCCCAACACGCGCGACACAGCGCGTGAAAATCCTCGTACGGCATATCGGTGTTCACGTGATCGCTGTGCACGTGTTTCAGATTAGTGCCATCCTGCTTAAAGAGTATCAATAGATTCGCGTTGTCGCGTATCAGATGTTTGGGTATCTTAGCGTACGATTGGCACAGATAGAGGCAATCGACCTTCGCGTGACGCCCCATGGCGAAGTATTCTCTCACGACGTCCTGTTTGTCGCAGGCCACGTCGAACACGAATATCGAGTTCGGCGATGCCTCGCTAGGCGGGATGACGTCGACGTTGTTCGAATACGTGAAGTAACCGATATCCCTCATAGGTTTCAACAATTTCTCCAGATATCGATATTTAGGCTGATGCAACGATTTCGAGTAAACGTACACGTTCACGAATCGCACGCCGTGCGGGCTCTCCAGAAGGCTTATCAGCACGTTCGTTTTAACGCAATTAGAGGGACCGCAGATTACGCAGCGGATCGCGGTCGGTAACAGATTACCGTGTCTTCGCGGTTCCTCGTTCATCGAGCGCATCTTACCGTCCACGTTGGACACTCTTATCGCAATCAGTTGACGCACGAAACGCATCGTTTTCTCTCTATCTCTCTCCTCTCGCGATTCTTCCTCGTTGTCGCGAGCGAATCTGCGTCACAGTGCGCAGACTCGCGCACGCGAGCAACGAGCGCGGATTTGCCCTCGCGAACGCATATATATAGAGGGAGAAAAAAAAACGATCGTGCAGTTAAGCGTGTCCGATCGACGGTGACGCGATAGAGTTACGCGCGCGCGCGCGCGACGCTTCGTCATGTTTATTCTATTGGTGAACAATTCTGATATTCTCGGACTCAGCGTCGATCAATTGCAGTACGTTCCGAAGAAGCTTCTGCTGGACAAGTACGGCGATTTTGTCGATCGATTGTGGGAGAGATTGCCTATACATCTGCAGGACGATTCGGACGTGCAGCGTTATCGCCTCTGTCACAAGCATCACAATCAGCCGTAGCAACGAACGCACATCGACGGTCCGCCGCCGTGCATCAAATACTGCGACATGTGCCGGGAGAACGAAATGGCGTGACTATGAGCGCGTCGACGATCGAGGCGTATGAGATATGTCGAGGACGCTGCGACGGCAGTCGTCGGCGGTAGCGGTTTGCTCAATAGAACTATAAACGCTCTTCCGTTCGAACTACATATACCGGGATATCAGTTCTGCGGTCCCGGTACTCGTCTCGGTAAGCGGCTCGCGCGAGGCGATCGAGGCGTCAATCCGCTGGACGCGGCTTGCCGCGAGCACGACGTTGCCTATTCGCGGAGCGACGATCTCGCCGATCGGCACGTCGCGGATCGGACGCTCGGAGTGAAAGCGTTCGAGCGTATCCGGGCCGGGGATTCGACCCTCGGCGAGAGAGTGGCGGCGTCGGCCGTATGAGCGGCTATGAAGGCGAAGACGAAACTAGGAATGGGTATGGTTGGAGCGCGAAGAGGCGCGAGAAAGAGCGGCGGCGGCAGCAAGAGAAGAACGACCTCGACGAGGAGGAGGAGGACGGCGACGACGACGACGACGAGAGGACGGGTTCTTCCCGCGGCGAAACGCGGCGGCTTCCTGCCGCTGTTGCCGGGCGCTCGGAGCTTTAGGATCACTGATCGGCGGAGCGGCCTGCGTGGCGAAGATGGTAAACGACGGTAAGGCCGCGCGTCGACAATTGGAGGAGCTGCAGCGACACAATCGAGCGATGGAGGGCCGCGGTTTGTATCTCGCGCCTTACAAGCGCGGCGGAAGCATCGCGAGACGAGGCGGACGAACGGTTAGGAGGAAGAAGAAAAAAAAAAGTCGCGTCTTCGCGCGCGTTAGACGACGTCGTAGCTCCGATCGGCGTCACGACGAACGAACAGTTGAACAGCGCGGCCAGGCGCGCTCGCGTGCGTCACTTCAGAGGTGTGTTCATGCGCGACGCGTTGCCGGCACGAGTTCGACGCGACGAGAGTGGTATCGTGAACCTGGACGACGCCTCGGGGCCGGGCACGCATTGGGTGGCGTACGCTAAAAGGGGAAAAGACGCTATCTACTTCGACGCTTTCGGCAATCTTCGGCCGCCTCGAGAACTCGCGCGTTATCTCGGACGCTACACGCGCGTCGCGTACAATCGCGACTCCCAGCAGACGTACGATCAGAGCGTCTGCGGACAATTGTGCCTGCGCTTCCTTCGACGAGTCGATTGGGGAGGAAGAAGGAGGAAGCCCTTCAGTCTCTAACGGCGATAGCGGCGCGTCGTCATGTCGCTGATTCTCACGCTGACCGGAAGAAGCAACGTTCTCCACGCCGAGTTACTTTCCACCTCTCGATCTGAGCGACGATGAATACGAGCTCGGCCTGACCAATTTCGAGACCTACAACACGATTCCGAATGTAAATTCCTCGAACAATAAATTTTACTTCGACGACAACGACGAGACGATCGCGATCCCGATCGGATCCTACGAGCTGCGCGATATAAGCGCGTACCTGAGAGCCCGCGATTCTTCGAAGACGGCGACGACCGCCAAACGCGAGTACCGGAGGGAGAGACGGCGGCGACGGCGACGACGACGAGGAATATCTGTACGACGTCGAGGACGCGGAGGACGAGAGCGGCGATCGCGTTCTCGCGCTACGCCGGTAACGACAATACCATGAGAAGCGAAATCAAATGCGCGTATCGAATTAATTTCACCAAACCGAACAATATCGGATCGTTGTTAGGTTTCTCCCAGTCTCGAGTATTGCGGCCGAACAAATGGTACGCGTCCGACGAGCCCGTGAGCATTATCGCGGTTAACACGATTCGCGTGGAGTGCAACCTGACGACGGACGCGTACGTGAACGGGAGATCCGCCCACGCGATACACGAATTCGCGCCGAACGTCCCGCCGGGATACAAAGTGTCGGAGATCCCGAGGCAGATCATTTATCTGCCGGTCATCGCGCGACTCGTGACCGACGTATCGCTGCACGTCGTCGATCAGGACGGTCGATTGATCGATTTCCGCAGCGAGATCTCGATTCGACTGCACGTGCGGCGCAGACGATAGAGAGCGCGCGGCGAGACGGGGGAGGGAACGGGGCGATGCTCGTTGTGCGCGAATCTAGCGTCGCGACGGTCGCATCGCGGCGGCGACCGCGATCGCGTCGCGGGAACTCGAGTCGCGCGCTCGAGAGAGAGGAGCGTCGGGGAGATTGTCCGCAGCCAACGTCGCTTTTCTGCGATCCATGGGTTTCGTCGTACCGAGAGCCGCGCGATAGTTCGACGACGACATGAGGGACATTCTGAGCATCGGCGGGGAACCCGTCTTCGACAATCGCATCGTGAAGATCGAGAGTCACACGTACAATCTGTACGCCAATACCACTTTCGGATACAGCGACGAGATACGAATACCTATACAACAGCAGGACCTATACACGCTGCCGTGCGAGAATTTTCTCTACGTCAAAGGTAGACTGCACGCGAAGAATAATCCGCCGCCCGCGTCGAGCGGCGAATCGGGTAAGCCTGCCTCGGCCTCTAAGGAGCCGTCCGTGCCCTCGACGCCGGCGTGGCTCGTGAACAATTGCGTCGCCTTTATGTTCGAGGAGATACGTTACGAGCTCGATGGCGTGGAAATCGATCGTAATCGCAACGTCGGAATAACCAGCACGATCAAGAACTACGTCTCGCTGACGGCCGAACGAGGCAAGATCTTGAAGAACGCCGGATGGGATCTCGCGACTGGACCGAGCGGCGTCGCGTCGACGGGCGACTTCAACTTCTGCGTTCCTCTCGATACGCTGCTAGGTTTCTCCGAGGATTACAGGCGCGTCGTTATCAACGCGCGTCACGAGCTGATTCTGATAAGAGCGCGAAACGACAACAATTGTCTGATATCGCGCGAGGAATTCGAGCTCGCGAAGATACAGTGGCGCGTGCCGCACGTGGTGCTGAATGACGTCAACAAATTATCGCTGTTGCGCACGTTGGACAGCGCAGATATCTGAGCGCGCCCTTTCGCTCGTGGGATCTCTACGAGTTTCCGCTCCTGCAGAGCACGACCAAACACTCGTGGGCCGTAAAAGCGGCCACGCAGCTCGAGAAACCGCGTTACGTCATCTTCGCGTTGCAGACCGGAAGGAAGAACGTCCTGTCGCAGGACGCTTCCAGATTCGACGCGTGCAATCTGACCAACGTAAAGTTGTATCTCAATTCCGACTTCTATCCGTACGACGATATGAATTTGGACTTCGATAAGAACAAGATCGCCGTACTGTACGACGCCTACGCGAGATTTCGACGAACGTATTACGGATCCGCGAGCGACGAGACGCTCCTGACTATGAACAAATTTCTATACTGCGGCCCACTCGCGGTGATAGATTGTTCCCGCCAAAACGAAGCGATTAAGAGCGCCACTGTGGACGTTCGTCTAGAATTCGACTGCAAGGACAACGTTCCTTCTAACACCACGGCGTACTGTCTAATCATTCACGATCGCGTGGTGGAGTACAATCCGCTGACGAACGTCGTGCGTAAGATTCTGTAAGACGACGCATGTCGAACGGGGGGGAGAGAGGAAACTCGAAATCGCGAAGATATCGGGGAGAGACGCGAATAAACGTCAGTATCTCGCGACGATGACCGCGACGACGGTCGCGGCGATATGCGATCTTCGTCGATCTGCAGGGTTTTGTCGTCAACGAGCGATTCGTGACGAAGGAGATGGCGATACTCGCGAGGCAGAGATCTGACGCATCACGTCTTTCGCGCGCCGATGTCGTGGAATCTGCTGACGAAGAGCGAGAAGTCGCAGGCCTGTTGGCTGACTCTTAATCACCACGAATTTCACTGGACCGACGGACACGTGGAGTATAGGCACGCGAAGCAGATCGTTCGCGACGCGATATATCGCGCGTCGAGGGATCTCGAACGCCGCGGTGACGATTTACGTCAAGGGTCTCGAGAAGAAGAAGTGGCTGGCCGACATCGCGGGAGAGGTCGCGGAACAGCTCGACCTGACGATGGAGACCATCGACGCCGATTACGAGGATATCGGACCCCTTCGAACGCTAGCCGCGACTCGCGTCTATCGCTGCGGCTATCACTCGAAGAATTGCGCCTTGGAAAACGTGTGCAAACTGCACAACTGGTGGTTGGAGAGACGCGATCAATTGCGCGACATGTGAACAGAGACGCGTCGCGCGTTTTCCGCGTCGTAGATTAGTCCTGCGTGTACTCTTATCGACTTATTAGCGGTTAATTTATCGCGCCTCATACATTTCCCACATCGTAGATTAGTTTTACGCGTACTCTCGTCGATGTATCGACGATTAATTTTTATCGCGTGCATTGATTTATCGCCTACTTAGAAAGAAGTATTATTAATATCTTCAAAAATAATATTAATAATAAGAAAAAGATAATAATATTGTAACGGTGCACCTTTCCCGACGCCGCGGATCGGCTCGTCGGAGTCAGGGTTCGGGAGAAGGGGAGACTCAGGCTCGCAAAACCACACGGGTACGAATTAATAAAAAATCTTTATTGTAAAATCACCCTACTTACACTTTGATTCTTTACACGAAAATAACGTTCTAGGTACTAGCTAGGACAATGGATACGCCTAAATCTAGTAGTACACACGAAGTTATGTCGCGGTCGCGCAATTACAATTATGAATATGCCTAAATCTAGGTGCTTACCAGTCTTAGTCGCTAGTCGGGACGGGGAGCAGACTTAAGTCTAGTATTATTACGAACACACGTCTTAGGCGCTAGTCGGGACAAGGAACAGACCTAAATCTAGTATGATACACGGAGTCGCGTAACCACAATTGCTAACACGTCTAATCTAGGTATCTACGCGGGACCGTGTCTCGATCGCAAAATCGGCGCGGTCGTGGATACAAAACCCTAAAAAGGAGGTCACGTGTAGCCGTGCACGGACCTGGAGCCGGGTCTGCCGACCGAAATCGGCCGAGGACGGGGGCGCCCGTCCTCAGGGTGGCGTACACGGGTGCCCCATAGTACGCCGGGATACTGGACGTTGGTAGCAACCGACCGGGCCCGGTAGCAACCGGGCTCTGGACCAGGGAAGTTAATCAGGGTCCCCAAGTATACCTCGCGACGCGGAAGTCCGAAGGGGTGGTCACATGCCGCGAGGCACGGACACGGATCCTAGCCGGGCCTGCCGACCGAAATCGGCCGAGGACGGGAGCACCCGTCCTCAGGGTGGCGTACACGGGTGCCCCGTAGTACGCCGGGATACTGGACGTCGGTAGCAACCGACCGGGCCCGGTAGCAACCGGGCTCTGGACCAGGGAAGATAATCAGGGTCCCAAGTATACCTCGCGACGCGGAAGTCCGAAGGGGTGGTCACGTGCCGCGAGGCACGGACACGGATCCTAGCCGGGCCTGCCGACCGAAATCGGCCGAGGACGGGAGCACCCGTCCTCAGGGTGGCGTACACGGGTGCCCCGTAGTACGCCGGGATACTGGACGTCGGTAGCAACCGACCGGGCCCGGTAGCAACCGGGCTCTGGACCAGGGAAGTTAATCAGGGTTCCCAAGTATATCTCGCGACGCGGACCAGCACGGTTCGGAATCGGCGGATAAGTGGAGCGTTGTCGGCCGCGGGAGAAAGGAGAGTCGGCTGGGTCGGGATTACCTTTATTTATAACTAGGTCATAAGAGACATGAGAACGGCTAGTGTCCTGCGTGTGGGTGGTCGTTGGCTCGGGCAGCGGTGATCCTCCTTTTCGTGGTTGCGGTCGTCGTCCAGGATCGCCAAAGTGGCCGTCCTCCAGAGCCGTGGTCCTCCAAAGCCGGGGATGCGGCTATTCGTCCAGGAGCGATGGGGGAGAGCTGCCCAGGAGCCGTGGAGACGGCTACCCTCCAAGAGTCGCAAGGACGGCTAGTCCCCAAAAGCCGTGAAAACGGCTGTGCACCAGGAGCCGTGAAAACGGCTGTTCACCAGGGGCCGTGAAAACGGCTAGTCCCTAGGAGCCGTGAAAACGGCTGTGCACCAGGAGCCGTGAGAACGGCTAGTCCCCAGGAGCCGTGAAAACGGCTGTGCACCAGGAGCCGTGAGAACGGCTGTGCACCAGGAGCCGTGAGAACGGCTGTTCGCCAGGAGCCGTAAAAACGGCTGTTCGCCAGGAGCCGTGAAAACGGCTGTTCGCCAGGAGCCGGGAAAACGGCTAGTCGGGGCTCAGAATGGAGACCCAGACAATCCGGACGTCGGTTGCAACCGACCGAGTACGGGAGCGCCCGTACCCGAGACCGGGTCGTCGTGGGTCGACGGGAGACTCCTGGTTGTCGGTTGCGATCGACCGGGCACGGTAGCGACCGTGCTCTAAGCCAAGAGTAAGGAGCTCGGTAAGCTGCGAATACCAGGGTGCGTCCTGTAGCTTCGAGCGTCCCGAAAGTCGGGACAGGAATAGGTACTGGTCTGCCGGAGCGGCCGCCTTATATACCCGGCTGGCCACCCCCACGCGATCTCCTTACGCGGTCATGCGCGTAATAGTGGGGCACGCGGTGATTATCAATCCGCGGTTCCGCGGTTCGGACGCGGTGCTCAATCGGCGGCGCTTGGCGCCAAATTGGCGCCGCGCGGATGTTGGCGCAGTAACGGCCTCGCTGTTACAATATTAATACTAAAAATAATATTAATACTACAAATAATATTAATACTAAGAAAAAATAATATTAATACTAAAAATAATATTAATACTAAAAAATAATATTAATACTAAGAAAAATAATATTAACACTATGAAAAATAATATTAATTAGCGAATAAACGTTAACTCGTATCGCGCATACGCGGTTAAACACATTTTCCGCACTTCCTCCGGAGCAATCGAGAATTTATCACGCCTCGTTATATTACCTCATTATATTTCCGCGCGCTCAGTATTCTAAATGTTCCCAGTGCATTCAATATTCATTCTCAGCGTTATTTTCGCGCGAACGATAGATGACGAATTTTTGAAATTGCTAAGAATGTTTCACGGATGTATGTTCGCGGCGCGAATGTGCGCCTGGAAAATAAAATACATCAAGAGACTCATGAAAGCGATCCTCAGCATAGTGTTAGCGTGGAACGTGAGTACCCTTTTATCATCATTATTTATTCTTTCGCTCTCCTTTGAAGAGACACGCGACGATCGTTGATCGCGCGACATTTTTTACAGTTCGAGGAGGAAGTCGAGATCGAAGGGTTCGTAAGCATACACCATAAGCGTTGGATGCAGAGAAAAAGGCAGGCGCGCCGCATATTCATGGATTTACTGTGGTGCGAGCGACCTACAAGAAATGGGAGAAGAGCGCGCCTAACATGTTTACCGACATATTTCGCTTGAGAAGATTGTTCGGTATGGAATCGCTCGTCCAAGATCATATGTGTAAGACCGCACATATCTACGACGACGACGATTCCTTCGGAGAAATGTGGTACCGCGGTTTGAATCCGATCGACGGAATGAGCTCCGCTCACACGAGTGACGGAATGAGCTCCGCTCACACGAGCGACTACGACGACGACGAGGACGAGTTTTAATCGAGGTACGTATCTCTTTTCGTCTAACGCGCTATTCTTTCATTCCATATACCTCAGTATGATCTATTAATACTATATAAATTGATACTTTATATATTTCAGACGTCTCGCCGACTTCAACACCGAGGGACGGCGCCTTCCGCCCGATCACCGCTCGCATCGTCCTACGCATTTTACCTCTTCGCATACAACTATATATTAATCCATGTATCGTCATATTATTCCACCCGCCGCATCGTTTCGCGCGATCGTACGATGCGTCGCTTTATACGTTACCTCGTACCTCACTTCGTATCGTCTTTTTTACATTACTCTATATATTAATCACTCTATATTAATCACTCTATGTATATTTATATATATATACAGGGTAGGGCATTTATCTTGAGACAAGATAATATCTCGATTGGAGTCGATTATTTTGAAAAAAGTTTTAGACAAAAGTTGTAGGGCATTAAAGAGGCTATCGAAAGGTCCA